AATCTGTTTTAAATCCAATATTTGCAAAGTATTTGCTTTGACAAAATGAATTAAGCTTTCTTGTAGTACACATTTATCTCGCTTTATCAAAAAGCCAGTCAGCATTATCTCTATAGGGCTGTGTTTTGATAAATGTGCAGAACACTGCTTTCATCACAAAATAGCCTTGTATATGCCAGTACAGATTTTAAATAAAGAACTCTTACCCACAGAACAACTGTCTGTTTCGGGACACAAAGAGTCACAGCTCAGAATAATTCCCCTTCCTCCTTTCAAATCCCCAATGTGTATTGAAGATGAATTTAAATAACTCAGAGCTAATTGTAATTTAAAAACTGGGTGATTGGGTAAAAATATCTAAGTTTTGTATTTAACTAATGAAGGCTAAGCTTTTACAGAAAAGCAATGAAAGCCCCAGATAAGTATCTGTGGTGTGGATTAACAATAATGCAAAAGGATATTCCGATTTCTGTGTCAACATTAATTAGTGCCCTGCTCCAACATCTCCATGCCTTTGTTTTAATTTAAATGTAAATTCAAGTGAATTTTGCGTTTTACATCCTCTCGCTACTCTTATTTACAAATAAGATAAGAAGGACATATCAGCAGAGAATGGGTCTAACCACACGCCAATTAACATGATGCTGCATAATTATTATGGGATAAAGATTAAGCAGGTAAAGCTAAAAAGCCCTAATGGAAATATTCAGATCAGGAATAGATGGCTGGGTGGATAGGAAACAGATGTGCCACCTAACTAAAGCTTACAATGTCTGTGCTCCCTCAGTGACTTGGATCCAATAAATGTCCCTTGAACAGGGCTATTTACCAAGGAATGCTAGGTATGGGTGAACAGAACAAGATGACACAATCGATTCTTCTTGGGATACTGCTTGGTTGGTAGTCTCTGGCCATGAATGTTATATAAATCAAATGGTGTACTATCTAATATAAAGCTTTGTGCCAGACATGCCCATTTCAACTTACACTAGCCACATATGGATCATCATTTCTCTTGATAAAGAGAACATTTGTATCAACACAGAAAGTCCTGCTCAACAGAACTTCATAAATTGTCGTTAAATGCCAAATAAATGATTGTCTGCCATCACTTACTGCTCCTAAAATGCTTAAAAGATCAGTCATGTAGCTGGCCTATGTGTGTGTTGAATTTGCCATAGACACATCCAAACCACCCATCAATAGAGGAATAGCTTAGTTACAGCCAATCCCTTTGATAGAATTCTGTGGAGTTGATAAAAAGCCAAGTTAGATCAATACACATACGTATGATCCAATACTGATAGAAGAAAGTAGGTGGACCTAAAAAACTATACAAAACATACATTAATAATTGCAATCTACACCCTATCTCTAAAATTTATAGGTACACCCAAAAATATACTAACTAGATATTATAGTTATTCCAAGGATGAAAGTGAGAGATAGGGGTATTTATATTTTTAACTGAGGAGGGAAGAGAACTGGGGGCATTCATATTCTTTCTTTGTGGGGGAGACTTGGGGTATTCATATATTTCCTCTACAAAGGTGGCAACAGAAATCATCATCATGTCACTAGTTTGCAAGTACCATTAAAAGTGCTGACTACTGCAAAATAGTACATGTAAAACTTTTTCTCCAAAGATGCTAGACTAGACAGAATACAAAAATAGTCCACATTATGATTCACCACTTCCTTTAGAAGAGGTTTCAAGCCCACAGAAAGGTAGCTGTTACCTACGATGATTAGTTAGGATGAGTCACTTCTCTGTAAAGCTACAACTAGTCCATGGCCAGCCTGTGCAAGAAGGTGAAAATACTGCTTGCAGACTATTATGAGGGTATGCACACAGAAAGGTTTTACAGAAAAAAAATGGTACAGGGAGAAACAAAATGATACAAGAGATGGGAGGGTACAGCTGAATTCAATAAGCCAAACGTATGTCCTGGACCAGAGATGGGTGGAAATCAACATGTTCTGTGTTGGCTGAGGCAGAGGAATTGAGACACAGTGAGATCTTGGAACAGAATCCGAAGCTCATCTTACAGCCTGATTGCTAAGTGTGGTGTTATCATGAGAGTCACAGGTCCACTCTGTTTTTACAGAATCTATTCTGGATGTGGGGTGGAAACTAGATGACAAGCAAAATATATGTTGGCCCATGGAGTAAGGAATTAGCAAGTGTGGGGATGGAAAAGGGTAAACTGATGTAAGAGACAGAAGGAGAGAGAACACATGGGACTTAGAATAGTAAAATGAAAAAGATAAATGCTCTCTATGGTCCTGGTTGAGGATAGGGTAATTTGGTGAGTTTAAATATCATTTTAATATTTTTGTTAATGCTTTGAAAATAGCATATTGATCATATTCATCAACACTCCTCACTCATTCTGAGTCCACCCTCTCTACCTTCCTACCCCTCCAAACTTTGTTGCTATTTTTGGAAACTCACTGATTCCCGGTTGTACAACCTATGCACAAGTGTGAAGCCATCCTCTGGAACATGGTAGATCAACAACTGGCCACTCTTTTTATAAACACTGACTCTCCCTCCCTCAGAAGCCATTAACTGTTAGGAGCTCCTCCTCAGGTAGAGATGGAGGTTTCTGATTCCCTACTGAGTCCATGCTAGAATGCTGATTGGGGTTGATCTAATGGGTTTGAGTGCACTGGTCCTGCCACATCCAGAAGATGCTCTCTGGCTCCTGTCCTCCCTGACCTCTGGCTATTACAATCTTTCCACCTCCTCTTTGATAATGTCCTCTGAGACTTGGGGTGGGGGTGGGGTGTTATAAATGTTCCCTTGTTGAAGCACTCCCCTGACATGCAAAACTGAAGAAGGGGCAGTCACTGAGTCTCTGTGTTAATGCCAGGTTGTTTTGTTTTTGAAACGTTTAAGATCCTTATCCCTTTCAAGGGTCTATTATCCTTTATCAAATCTACAGAGCTTTAAAGAGGGAAAGGTTCATGTAGATGATAGTGAAAGCTCCTGGCCTTAGCATAAGGTTATTCACCTTGCCATATGCCATACTGCATGAAGATCTGTATACTGCACTGCAGAAATTGTACTGTCTATGATTTCCAGGGTGTGCATGCAGAATAAAGTGTGTCTGTTAGGTAATAGTTTGCATATAGATAGCCCCCATAAGCTCACAAAGAGTGGCACTATTAGGAGGTGTGGTTTTGTTGGAGGAAGTGTATCACTGAGAGTGGGCTTTGAGGTCTCATATATTCTCAAGTCACTCCCAGGGCCTCAGTTCACTTCCCATTGCTTTCTGATCAAGACATAAAATTTTCAGCTCCTTCTTCCACACTGCTTGCCTACATACCATCCCGTCCAACCACAATGATAATGGACTGAACCTCTGAAACTGTAAGCCAGTTCCAATTACATGTCTTCCTTTATAAGAGTTGCTGTGGTCATGGTGTCTCTGTACAGCAATAGAAACCCTAACTAAGGCACACGGGGTATGTACCATGTCACCCTTACAAAGTCTGAATTCAGCAATACAATCGACAAGGAATTATAGAGAGGAAAGTTCCCCTGAAAGGTAGTTGAGAGGTTCATTGTAAAACTGTGACTACCCAGTGCATAAATGTGGGGGTGTCTCTGTGTTTGGGGGTTTGGTCAGTTATTGTCACTGACTGTGCAGTAAGATACAGTGTTAAGAATCTGTTGGTGCCTTCACAGCTGGCCTTTCAGCTGGCATCTCAAAGTTTCCTGAGCTTGTGATGATCAGATTCATGAAGCCTACAGACAACTGTGGAGCAAGTGCCATATACCTCTTCCCATGGGGACTGAAATCTCCATGGGATTTCAGTGTTTCCAACACTGAAATGTGTTTCCAACAAGGCATCTGCTACAAGAGCCATGGGACTCAGAGTCAGTCCTAGGTGCCTACCTACAACCATCAATGGTCATTCATTTTATACACATTCTCTCCCACACACAAGCTATTGGTACAATACTCTGCTAGAGACTTGGAGACTATCAAAGAATAATACATGATCCCAAACTATTATCAGAAAAGGTGCTCCAAGGAACTTTCATAAATGTTTGTTAACACAATAAAGCAATGCCCAGAAAATGGCTCCATGGTTAAAAGCACTTGCTGATCTTGCAGAGGACCCAGGTTCAGTTCCAAGCACCCACACAAAAATCCAACTATGGGGGTCCTGACACCCTCTTCTGGCCTCCACTGGCCCTGCATACACATAGTGCACATACATAGATGCCAGCAAAACACTCACACACATGAAATTTTTTAAAAAATAAATTTTAAAACATGAGAAACTAGAAGTAATGAAAAGAATATTAGTTATAAGGTGGATATTACTGTGTACCACTAAGTAGAAAGTAAAAGGCCACACTATCGGTTCTAAGTATAGTCACCTCTCTATATACATTGACTAAACATCCTTAGACCTAACTGATCAGATAGAAATTGCATTGTTTTAAGCATAAGTGACTGAAAACATGCAGAATTTTGTCTCCATAAAATAGAAAATAATTACTACACAATATTTACATTGTCTTAAAGATTATAGGAGACACGATTTCAAGTATACAAGAGCATGGACACAGGTGGTAAACACAATCCATCATTTTTAGATAAGGCTCTTGAGCTTCCATGAATATTTGGGTATCCACAGAGAATCCCAGACCAATTCCATAACAACAGTAGGAGTTACAAACGGGGGACTGAAGAAAGAAGTATTCGGTCTAAGTGGCAATGTGGAAACAGGTGAGCAACGTGGCTTTAAAGCATGCCTTCACAACTACCCAGAAAGAAGAAGAGAGAGAGAGAGAGAGAGAGAGAGAGAGAGAGAGAGAGAGAGATTGTTAAAGGCTTATTCATCAAGAGTTTTTGAAGCTTGGATTTCTGCCAACTTTTTGGACAGGCACTTCCCTCAAAGCAGCCTGGATTTCTACAGATTGATGTTCAGCACTTTTGAAGTACTAGGAAGACAGGAAGACTGACCAGAAATTCCCTTACCTTCAACACATGAAGGCTGTGCCCGAGTCGTGCCAGCCACCTGGCCCGGGAAGCAGGAACATTTGACCGTTTGAGAGCGTTCCTCTATGCGGTTCTTATTGCAGCAGCGGTGCACGGCGACCACCTCACAGGTGCCCTGCTTGATTAGGTGGTGGCCTGGTAGATAAAGAGAGAAGACAGACCAGGAGCTGTTAGAGTGGGCAAGATCAACAAGAACTTAGTAATGCTGTGACTACCCATTCCCTCCTGCTATGCTATGTATCTTGGTAGTATTTACATTGGATGACATCTCAAATTAACATAAAATGAATTAAAAAGGTGCAGAATTCTCCAGAAACTCAGCTCCTGAACTCTTGTTATTTTACATCCATGATGTGTCCCAAGAGGTGCTGCTGGAATAAGTAAGACTGCTGATTTTAGATGAGCAGATCCTGAATGACCCAGACTCTTGCTAGCTTGCAGATGGAGGAAACATCATGTAGATGAACTATGTCTGATCCATCTGATCAGACATGAATTTAATTAACCAATAGCCTGAATGAGGCTGAAGTTGTTTTTTTCTCTACAGCCCCCCTAAAGAAATGCAGCCCTGCTGATATCTTGACTGTTGATATCTCAGTCAGAAGAGCCTGGGGGACCAATCATCCAAGCCCAGACTTTCGGGATGAGATACTGACTTGATGGCAACTTGTGAGAGCATCAATAGCAAACTAACTGCTCACCTGGATTCACCAGTTTGCAAGTGAGCTTGTCTGATGTGTCATTCATGATCTGTCTCACCTGTTCTCTCAAACAGTCAGATTACAGGCTTGACAGCTCATTCACTCCTCAATAGACCACGAAGTATTTTCTAAAAGTGACATCCTCATATAATTAGTCAGAATTCTTTCTGATGTATGCTGTTGTGCAATGTCTATACATACAGATTGTCCTATGTTGTCCCCACAATGTCCTATGTCTCTCCTATGCCCCACATTCAGTTGTTATATGCCAATAGCTTCCTTAAATCAGAGCCTATTCCTCAAACTGAATCTTCCTTGACCATGACATTTTTAAAGAATGCATGGCAGTCTCTTTACAAAATTCTTTGTCTTCGGGGTTTTGTTTGTTTGTTTGCTTGTGTGGTTGGTTGGTTTGGTTTGGTTTTGGTGGTTTGGGGGTTATGTTTTGGGGTTTTTTTTTGGGGTTTTGGTTGGGTTTTTGTTTTTTTTTTTGGTTTTTTTGGGTTTTTTTTTTTTTTTTGGTTTTTTTTGGTAAGTCTTCTTAGACACAAGTCGTTCGCTTTCAGCAGAATACCCTGGCAGCAGCTCCATATTCTCCTCACACAGGAGACACGATGCCCTGCTAGCCCATTCTTACAATGTTAGCTTCAATAACCTGGCGTCTGCCAGGTCGCTTTGTTGTGAAATTCTATTCTCTCTCAGAACGGAATATAAATTTTAACAAGAGAAACATTGAAACTATATATTTTGTTTGTCAAACTCCAATTCTCTGATTCTGGAACCCATTGATGATTTATACCTGAATCAATCATTAATTTGATGGTTATGAGGCTGATTCTCTATTAGTATTCAAATTGTTCCAAGTCTGCAGAGGAGCACTTGACTGCTGGATTATTTTGTCATGGGTCTCTATTTCTTTAAAGACTTTACTACGCTTCTTGCCCATAAGAACATTCTAGGCATATCTCATATTTTCCCAGATCTCCTCATTTCTCTAGCCTTGATGACTTTTAAGAAGCAGTCAGACTTAGAAACTGTGGCCTTCATTATGTAGGCTTAGGCACTACTCTGAGTGATTTGGACTCTGCTAGTGTGCATATGTACACATACATGACATGAGTCTACACAAACATCATCAAATTCTAGTCGTGTCACAAGTTCATCCTACCCCCTCCTATACTGTCGCATTACTAACAATAACCTGACTTCCGCAGTCCCTAGACACCAGAATAGAATGGATACCATGTTTGTTTTCATCACCAGTAGTGTACAGCAGAGACAGTGTCCTGGCATGCCAAACATCAGGAAGCTTCTGTCACTGGTGATCACATCCCTCACTTGGGGACAACTGTGGTATGAGCACCTAAATTCTATTGACAAGATCCATGTACACAACTTTGCAAGCAAAGATGTTCTAGTGACCCCTCCTCAGAAGGAACTAGATCTGGTCTGTGTGATATGCCACAGAGAACTAAAGATTGCCATTTTCTCTGCTAAAATCAATGCAAATGAAATTGGAGATATTATAGCTCTACCCCAAATGCAACCGCACTCAAGGTTAGGGATTCAACACATACAATGGGCAAGGGCATCAGCATTCTAACCACACCAAGCTGCAAGCCCTAGTAGATTATTAAATGATCCTAGAGAGGCCATAATGAAGGCAGCTCTATGCTTCATTTAGAAAATGAAAGAAATATGCTTTAGTAACTTTGCAGAAAAGTTAACAAGTAATTTGGACCTTCAGTAATAACATGTTCCACTTGGTGCTCTGTTGCTGTTTGGATAACTACGCACAAACACAAATGGATTATCTTCTACCCAAACTTAGAATTGTCCTAGCCTCCCTGAATGATCATTTTGCCCAACTCAAGATTGCATTTACTTATACAAACCAATCTATTGTACTTCCTTGGTTTAAAGACTTACTATTTAGTCTTCTAACCTAAGAGAAACTAGTATAACAAATAGCATCCTACACTAATAATTGACACTGCTTTAGGAGTACCCACGTGGCATTATGTCTGAGAACTGATGACATCTCAGATTTCATTAAATATGGCAGACGCTGTTGTGAACATTTTACAAATATCCTGTGTGAGCTAATAAAAATGCTGTGAGATAGGAATTATTTTTAGCCCAGTTTTATACTTCTTAACAAGATATACAAAAATTGTTTCCCCCAAAGGTCACATAAATACATGAATTGCGTTTAAATCTCCCCTCTTCACAGTCTGTGCAAGATAAGAGAAAATGGTGTCTCTGCCTCAACCATTTACACAGCACGTGTCAGCGTCCTACTAAAACTTACTTTCCTACTCAATGATAGTGTTTGTATGGCACCATGGTTTCTGAAAAAGTGTGTGGTGGTGACACTAGACCTTAATCTCTCCTAAAAACTACTTCATTCCTCTGCAGTCTCCCAGTATAGAAGACAAACACTCCAGAGCAAGTGTCCATGTAAGAACTGAGCATGCACTGTACATAGAATTCACTAATTACAGTTGTGTTATAACACTACATTGGGCAAGATCTCCAGAGAAGCAGGATAGAAAGTACATACACAAGGGAAAAAGAGGTACATTGTCTGCAATTGACCATCTAGACACTCAGCCAGAAGCAAAGCTTCAGTTCAAGACCAAGGGCAGAAAGGGACTTCCAGCCTCAAAAGCAAATCAGTAAGGAAAAGGTCTTTTTTTTTCCCTAGGAGAGTATTGGCCATTTTATTCTATTTGGGCCTGCAGTGGGTTGGCTGAAGCTACAGAATAGGTGGCTACTAATGCTCTATAAGACATGTTATCAACATGGGGAAACTTGAAACTGTTAAGTAATTATTTTCCATACCTCTGAAACTGCATTCAAAGATTTTCTTTTCAAAGGGGGAAGACTTAAAATATTGACAGGGCTATAAAATGCAAGAAGCCTCTTCTCTCACTCACCAGAATAGTTAATGTGTATAGCACTATTAAAGCGGTTATGATAATCCTTGCAATAAAAATTGATTGCTTGAGGATTGCTATGGAGGGTGGATTAACTTTATCTGAAGAGTAAATAGCTTAAATACATATGGGGGTTATTATTAAATATGCCTTTAAGAAAAATTTCAAACAACAGGGAAAATATTCATTTGTTCCAGTCCAGCAAGGCTCTTCCATTGTAAAGTTGATAAACTACAAAGCCATGTGTACAACAGAAGAACTTGTGGGAAACATACTTGAAAGTTAGGACTGATAGAAGCCATGGAGTGGTAAGGCTTCCTCTCCCTAGTGTTTCCCTACCATCCTTTCCCGTTGAATCCTTTCTCCTCTTCCTCCTGCCTATCACTAGAAAATACACCCTCAAATAGAAGTCTCATGCTCCAGCCATCTTCTCAGAAAACACTGATTTAGGGTAGACCTGGTCTCTCTGGCATCTCTCTCCATGGAAGCAGAACAGAGGAGAGAGATGGTGAACACCAGATTTCAGTACATGAACGCAGAGGCTCATCAGTGCCTGCAGCAAAAACGTGGCCAGCAAATTAGTCTTAATTTGTTTACCCTAACCCTATCCCAAAGTGAACTGTTTATTCAAGAAAGGAAACACCAACACAGAAGGGAATATTCTAGTAGTTATTAGTTGCGTTTGGTCAATACTTAGGGAGACAAATACCTACCAAGCCCCTCTAGGTTCTCTGCTAGCTCTTGAGGGCAAAGAAATAAAGAAGGAAGTGACCTTGGGCTCCATGTGTAGTAATACCAAATGGAAATATCTTACAAACAGGTGGGCGTGGGCATTATCATCTCATGTAAGAAAGGAAAGAGGAAAGGACTTAAAGAATCGCAAAAGCTGAGCTACACATTTTATCATGTGTGTGTAGTAAGTGAGAATATATATATATATATATATTCTAAATTATTTAATGAAAATTATGAACCACTTTAGTCACTATCATTTATCTTTTTAACTATACTTATTTAATAAATAATTTTTAGAATTTTCTGTGTGATAGGCACATGAAAATACAGCATCAAAGCCCACCATAAAGAAAGGTTAACTACCTGTGGATCTTTTATATTTTAATGATGAAAGAAGCAAAAACCAGAAGAGAGCCAATTTAAAATAGGAAGGGCTTAACAAGTTAACATCAGAGTGTTAAGTGAGAAATTAAGGCGGGGAGAAAAGCTTCTCACTTGTGACAGAAGCTGTGTGAGAAGGGGAAGTTAGTGGACAGTAATGAAGATAGAAAGGGCAGGTCACATGGAGCCTCATGTGTCATTTTGCTCTAAGAGGGATGGGGTACCACTTGAAATTTTGAGCTTAGAATGACCTAAGAGCTCTCTCTGTCTCTGTCTCTCTCTGTCTCTCTGTCTCTCTCTGTCTCTCTGTCTGTCTATGTGTCTCTGTGTCTCTGTGTCTCTCTCTCTGTCTCTGTCTCTGTCTCTCTCTCTCTCTCTC